GTTGTTTCGTGTAAAATCTGCATCGTGTGAATAAACAAGTCATTTTATGTCGGCCACACCCGCTATCATTCTTTCGCCTGCAAGCCTGCTCAATTACCCGCGAGCGTCCAGATTATTTCGCTGCTGCTCTGCAAGCGTTCGTGCCACCTCCAGAGAGCAACGAGGGAGAGTAGAGAAGAGAGAGAGCAGGGGGCGGGAGAAGAGAGAAAGAAAGAGAGAGAACGAGAGAGAGAGAGAGAGAAAAGACAGGAGAGAGAGAAGAGAGAGAGAGAGCAGAAGGGTTATGTGAAGATACCTACGATGTGAACTGGTGCGACACTCGCTGGAGTCGGGAGCATCACCAGCGTCTGCTAGACTGGAGCATATCAGCTACATAATACAGGCAGCCATACGTGAGTTAATGTCTGCGTAGCCCTTACACGTGGCGTAGCCAGCCCATCACCAGCGGCTTAGGGCTGCCGGCAGATACATTACACACAGAGAGAAGCACTAACACCCACAGAGTAACACCATTGCCCTGGATTCAATATATTATAAAAGCGCAGCGTTAAAGAATCACTGACTACACCCATCGCATCCTACTGCTATAACGACGCACATCGCCGCGTGTTATTTGATGCTACACGCCACGAGAATGAAGTCGCTCGCTCGTTATTACCGTCTTGTCATATACCTAAAGCTTTCTGATACTCTGATAACGCTGCTGGCCGACTCGTCCCTACAGCAAACACGGCAGGCCGCTGCGCGCATCGCGTCGACTCCCACCCTGCGTTGTTTGAATCGAAAATCGCGCCGACCACAGCACTGGGCGAAAGCGTAGAGACAGCAGGCTAACACACCGACGTTACAATGCGCCTATAAACGTGATTACATCAAAGTACGTATACAAAATGATATCGCGAGGAAGCACCGTCGCCACCACGCGTGTGTGTTTACACCTTTATATATATAGCTTTGTGCCATCAGGCATGGGCCGGGTTTTCGGGAGTTCTGCGTGATAACCTCGTAAATTCTCGAGCATTCACTTCAGCAAGGTGCATGGAACATTTAACCAATTAAGTGTGCCAGTAGTCAACGGCATATGTACGAGTAAGTAACTGAGTAAACCGTAATAGTTATGCACATACGTTTATATTTTGCACACAATTGTGACAGATGTATTTTTATGAGAGACTTCCAAAGCTGCCTGTGCGTTCATCAGTCTTATGACGTCAATGCATGCCTGCAAGCAGCCATAACTCAACCACAATTTCATCTCGGTTATTGTTTACGTCTTAACGCGTGACTCTCTCTCACACTCTCCTGTTTAGAGGCGAAGATTTCTTTGGGTCCGAAAACACAAATTCCACTTGACAATTTCAATGGAAGATTTCTGCATGAATGCGATCCCCTAACAAGTCCTTGACTAACTAGTCAAAAAATTTAAAGTCTGTATATTGCTTTAATTTAGCGCCGATAGTTCTTTGATTTAGAAAAAGTCTTCATTGTTATCTTCTTAAAACTACAGGATCATCCGCTGACCGCTGTGTGACGTGGGCCGGCTCGAATTTTCTGGGCGCACGTCTCCATGCGGGATACGCTTCATACTTGAGCACATCCCGCGGTCGCGCTGCGCGAATATTCCCGCGGAAACTGCGGTCTCAATCGCCGCGCAGCGACTCAGGATCGAACAGCAAAGCGGTGCACGCAATCTGTATCCATGTCTTTCTGGATGGCGCTAGAAGATCAAAATTCAACATAGCAGAGCGGTACAAAAGCGAGTCACGCACGCGAACGCCTACGCACACCCGCACGCACGCACGCACGCACACACACCCACGCACACACACACTCACACACACACACACACACACACACACACACACACACACACACACACAAACCGTCCAAAAAATTTCATCAAAATCCGTCCGTAACTTTTTGAGATATCCTGTTGACAGACAAACAAACAAACTAACAGAGGCGAAAACATAACCGCCTTGGCGAAGGTAAATATATATCTCGTACGTAGGTTATATGACACGGCGTATTATTTTCTAATAACAGACATTTATGCCTGTAATATTCAGTAATATTAGACTATAGTTTTCTTGTAAACAATGTGAACATGCACATCATGTAGGCTACATGAATAGGCGTATTATTTTCTAACAACACACAGTTATGCCTCTAATATTCAGTAATATTAGACTACAGTTTTCTTGCAAACAATTCGAACATGAATATAATGTAGGCTATAAATGACCTAAATTTAAAACTACTGATCTTTGCATTATTTTATGCACATTACGATTCTTATTGTTACTATTGCTACAATTCTTATTGTTACTATTGCTACAAGCCCGCACCTTATAGTGCTTCTTAAACTGGTGAATGGTTTGCCCAAGGGTGAATGAAATTATTATGGCGTGAATAACATAAGGAAATTTAGTCGCGGGTAAATGAAATTTTGTGATAAAGACTCGAGGGTGAATGACACTGAAATAGTTTAAGAAGCATTGCTTATACCAAGCAAAATATAACAGAAAGATGCGCAGTTACATATTGATCACCAGATTTCCATGTTGACGGTCTCAGTAAAGTTACCTATAGACTAACTATATTTATTATCGATTATCTATTATTAACTGATATTGTTAGTCTATGGTAAACCTCAACCTTGTATAGTCGCCGATTATTGCAACATCACGATGACTGTTTACCTGTTAACACGTTCTCACCGTGCGTGAACCGGTTCAGACGCTAACCTGCGCATCACCAAAGCAACTCCTGCATTGCAGGTCAGACATTATGAATGTAGACATTGATCATATCTATGGTCTGAGCGCATTGTGTTCACTCTGGTTTAGTGATCAGCAAAAATCGTATATTGCCGGAGGCCTCCAGCACTATACGATCTTTGGTGATAAGAAATTATGCATGTGCTTATTGTCCATTGGCTGATGGTGGCGTGAACAGAACACGTGATAAAAAAACAATCAGTCTTTCTCCGTACACGGCAGCCGGCAAGATAAGATACATAATATATTTTAACTTTGCCGGTAGGAGTGAACGGCGCCGTTTCCGTGGCTCTTCCTCGCCGTGTCCATGCCCTATTGCATAAGGTGACGGCACAGATTCGACCAAATGTGAAAGGGAGTGGCTAAGGCAAGCTTAGGCAATCGGTCTTCAATTCAATTAATCGCAATAACTTACGAGACATTTTTTTATTTTTGTGATAATCCACATCTTGAGGTCAATATAATTATGGAGCGTGCATGTATGGCTGTGTTTAAGTTGGTTAGCTCACGACGAGCTATAGTAACTATAGTGGGCGCAATAGTCGTGATTGAGTTATTGCGAGTGTACTTCGTCAACAATGGCTACAAAAGCAATTTGC